AGAAGTTGACAATAGAAAAGTTGAAGTCATCACGTTTATCGTTACATTTTGTTGTAATGTTATCATTAACGTCTTTTTTTGGTAAACTATCCAACTATGTAACAGATGAGTCAGATTCTGTGGTATCTTTTAAGTTCACTTGGATATACTGAGTCGACATATGGATGGAAGTAACTATTATTAATTGATAATACATGTACGTCAGTATATTTAAATGTGGAATTGAAGGTCACAGCAAGTGTCTCTTTTTTTCTTATGTTTAAGTTTCTGATAAATTCTGTTTCAAAAGAATAAAAAAAACAGGTCTGCTAATAACGGGGCGCAATTGGTACCCATGGGAATTCCAACAGACTATTGGAAGACGATCTCCAAAACCTACATAGATATTGACAATCAGAAACTCAAGCATCTTATTAATATCTACCTCTGAGTACTTGTGTGTACAGTCCGAATGTTTTTTAACTAAATAATTTTGCAAATGACCAATGAAATTGATGACTTCCATTTTATTGAAAAAGCAGCTGTCTATGATATCAAAAACCCTGGACTTTAATTTATCGCAGAGAATGGCTGTGTAAGTTGAAAAGTCGTGCGTATTGATGTTATTGATTTTGGTAAACTGATTTTAAGTATCCACATCTGAATTACACCACTTCTCGAATATATTGTTGTACTGTACATTATCAAATGTTTGCAAACAGGTCGTATTCATTTGGTCAAGAATACGACCTGTTACGTTGAACAAATAATTCATTCAAAGATGTAAGAAATCGATACCCTTTTAAGATCTGCTCTTCCTTTATAAAAGGAACACTCAAAGTACCTGTCGACCGGTTTAAAAATAACAACCAAAGTATTTAAAGGTATAAAACCAATATGTCTCAGAAAGTTGATCGACATTTGAACTCCTTTAATATACCAAAGTAAGTTTCTTTTGAGTAAATACACTTATACTGCATCATATATATATATATATATATATATATATATATATATATACATACAGTCAAACTTGTCATAGCGGTCACCTTTATCCAGCGATCACCTGTCCTATGCGGTCATTTTATTTCCTCCCAATGAATTTTCCTATATAATGTAACTCTATTAAGTGGTCACCTGTGTAACGCGGTCAGCAGTCATAAATTTCATGTAAAATGATTAATCGCCGTTTTACCTCGTATATAGCGGCCATTTTGTCCAATCACGTGACCAGATCTAGAGTCAGGTGACTCCCAATTTTTGTCACTAATGTAAATAATTAGTCTAGTATGGTGAGATCATGGAAAAATGATTAGTCTAATTATCTAATTTAAAATATTTAATGATTTATTTATTTTATTTAAAGAAAACTCAAACAAGGGTGTTAATGACCGAAATGGTTATCAGGAAAACGAACTTATGAAAATCTTACATTATGGAATTGGAATCTGGTTTAAAAAATTCTGAGTGATATTAAAAAAACAACGCATCCTTATTTATCTATTAATGGGGACAATATTTAGGTGTTTCCTAATTATTAGTTCACATTTGGCATGCCCAACTCCGATAGGTGTTATTGTGTAAACGCATGGCAGGCAGTTTTTAACACCTAGGAAACGTATTATTTGTAGACACCCTAAAACTGTTTTGTATACACAATGTGTCCCGATTATCTCGTGATTTTCACCTAGGTAAGACAATCGTTAGGATTAGTCACGCTTCATTGCTCATAACACCTGTGAATTTGATATCAATTTGTATTGTGCACTGCTTTGATCAACTGAGAGTACACGAGTTGTCTGTTTATTACACTTTGATCTATGTATTTTTAAACATACAATTGTTAATTTTACATAACTAAACGTGTTTTTTAAGATGCAGTTTAGATAAAAATACATTATATTTAATTCATGGCATTGCATGATAATTTCTTATAATAAAAGAAAGTTTTGTTGTTGTTTGGATGGAGGATAATGCAATGCCCTATTAAACTCATATTTTTTTGTCATCAAATTTAGCTTGAACTTAATCTTGAGACTATTAAAAATTTATTTAAAAAAACTTAGTGAGACCACTGATGTCCAATACACATCCTTCTTTTATATTCTATAATGTTGTATTGTAAAACACGGAACTAACATAAATTGGAAAAGAATTTTCTTGAAAAAGATGAACCTCTCTTCAAAGGTCACCTCTCTATAAAGGTCACTTTTAATGATTGCCGAAGGTGACTGCTTAATACAGGTTTGACTATATATATATATATATATATATATATATATATATATATATATATATATATATATATATATATATATATATATATATACACACACATTGGTAACACTTATTGCTAAGAATTAGAAGAAAAGTAAATCTAGAATAAAGTTAAAATTAAAGCATTATTCGAAACAGTCTGCTTTTAAGAAAATGGCTCATCTGTACTCACTTTATTCTTTTCAGGCATTTATTTTTCTCCTTTTTTTACCTTCCTTTCTTTCTTATATAATTTGAAGGATTACGTTAAATCTATTGTCGATCACGATGAAATACAAATAAATAACAAAACAAATTAAATATTCAAAGCCATGTTTTAATTTGATTTTTTCGATTTTTAAACAATTTACACAGTAAAAAGTTATTCAAATGTATAGTTTTAAACTATAATTTAAAAAAAATCAACCCAAAAATATAAATAGAAAATTCATTTCGTTCAAAACTGTACAAATCATTATAACAAAAACATTAAAAGTTAAACGGAAGCTGTATATTACATTTATATATGAGCTTAATGAAATATATTCAAGTTTGATTTTTTCCCCGCTTTAAAATAGTTTTCATTTATTTATAATACATGTATACATTAATTTTTTTTTTTTTTACAAGACCACTAACTTAAAAAACAATTAACAAGAGTAAGAATTTGTTTTGGGTTAATTTTCATTTTATGACCTATTTATCTTTTTATCAGATTCTTTTTTTCTTCAATTACAGAAAATTTTTTTACCAATGACAATTTGTTGAAACAATTCCAATTCATTCTTTTGAATTGTTGATACATTTCAAACAAACAATGTTTTGAGGTACAATCTGTAAGCCATGTTTATCTATCTTTTTGCTTTATAAGTAAGCTTGTATCCCCTCATTTTTTTAAAAAAATTATTATTATTGTTTTTAAATAAGGTAAATCACATATAAAATGGATGAGTTTATCTTCTAACGGTCTGTTTAGATACTTCATTTTTATTCTGCAGATGTTTTTAACAGAGCTGCACAAGAAGAGCTTTAAACTGGGGATACTGCAATTTCAGGTCTACTGGGAGAAATATTAAAACTTCCTCTATATCAGTCAGCAAAGCAGACATAAATGATCTTATATGAAATGATAAGTAAAAAAAAAAATAAATTTAGAGCAGTTCATGGTGGTAAAAGTTTTGCAGAATAATGTGCATATCATTTAAAAGCAGCTGCAAAAGCAGGGCATGTAAACCAGCTTTAAGATATCATATATTTCCAAATATAGATATTATTAACACAAAACTAGCATATCTAATTACAGGCAATTTCATCATTTCTGGAAAAAATTATTGTCAAATTGAAAAAAAAATCAATTAGGGGCTCTGGATACAATATTTTCGAATACCATTTTTTGCATGTTATTTTTTCCCCGGCCGTTTTAAATTCGCCCAAGTACAGTTGATTTAAAGAAATGTCTTCTCGCTCCTCGCTTTCCCTGGGATCTGTTATCTAGAGTAGGAGATCACCCCGAGGGGATAACTCACACTAGAGCCAAATTTTCCCCTCTTTCTTTCTCAGAGTATGATTTTTCCTCTTTTACCGATCCATAAATCACATCGACAATATTTTGACTAAAGGTTTATATGAACGTCAACTAATTTTTAATGGAATAATGAGTGTTTTCGACTGAAGAATTTCAAATTTCGAATGAGATCTTAAAACAAATAGCTCAAATCATTGAGGCTCAACTCAAATTTTTAACTTTTTTAATTGTAAAATTAGTCACTCAAAAAATCTTTGGACTTGATGTCTCAACAACTCTCCCCGCTGTGGTACCTTTTTGTTCATTTTTTTTTAAAATGGGAACCAGGCCATCTTTTGAAATTTAATTTGTCCTTTACCGGCCCAATATTTTATCTATAGATTGGTGCTTTTACAAAGAGGAAAACTGGTAGGACATTACTGAGAAAAATGATATTTTTAAACTTCGTATGTTTTAATGGAACTGGTTGTCATTTTGGAATTTTTTAATGTTTAGTTTTTTGTTTGAAGTTTTTGCAAGATTGTCTCCTGCTAGATCACCTGGGGAAAATTAGAAGGAACACTGCAACAATTAAAAACACCCCCTCCCTTCGTATAATAAGTACATGTACACGCATGATATTATACTGGGGAAATTGGCTCTAGAGGATATCGCACTCGATAACTATTACACAGAGTAGAATTTTTAGCCAAAATTGAATCCGGTGTGGGATTTTCTGTGGAGGATATCCTACTTAAGAGTCAATTTTCCGTGGGGGAAATTCTACTCTTGAGCCGGTTTTCTTGGTGTAAAAATATTTTAGAGGGAAAAGCCTACTCTACAAGACCTGTATCTATGCACCCAATTACTAGTATATTAAAACAAATTAGTTTTTAAAAACAATGTAAGCACTTTAAATCTATAACATTTACTCTTTTCTATTCCTTTATTAGAATTAAATAGATTACCGCCAATGTATTCAATATTGAATTTATGACCTGGAGAAATTAAAAAAAAATCATTTTTTAACTTTACGGTTCATTGTTAAATTAAAATTGTCTATGCTATGTTAAATCAAATTTGGAAAATGGAACTTTCAGTTTTTTTCCTTTTAAATGTTATTTATTAATATTGAATAGTTACGCGATGTTTACATTTTTGACTGGGTATGTGTGCTTTTTGATGTTGATAAAGATCAATTTTTTGTGAGGGTAATGGAAAGGGACACGGTATTTGACGTCTCTATTGATATTTACCACTTTTTATTTTGTGAAATTGATTTCTTAAACACTAGTCTCATTAAATAAGGGGATGCAAAGGAGGAACATGAATATAGAAAATATGAAGGGAACAGAAAAGAAATTGCCTTAGAGACCACGGATTCTTACAACAAATACACCTTGAAACACAAGTATGCATTGGTGATAAGCAACACATGATTGGAGGAGCTCTGCTTAACTAAAGTGTTAGCCTCAGAGGGAAGTTCCCCAGTCACTTACAACAATAAATACAATTGGACATAAATTACAATTCTATAACTTGTTCGTATAATGTCCAGTTGCAGCCATCGTCCACTGCAAAATCTGTATTTCGTCTATTTCTTTTTCACTTTCCTCTACTTCGTCTCATAAAAGTTGAGAGAATTTGGCTATATGGGAAAATATCTAAAATGAAAAAAATATGTGGCCTTGAAATGATATGTAGGAATCAAAAGTTTTAAAATCAATAGTTGCATATGTAACAAAATTTCCTCTGAGATGTATTGTGAAGTTAGGCCATTGGATTTTCAACTTACAATATCACACAGATAACATAGTTTTGACATATATACTTTAAATTAAACAGTTTAACCATTTCGTGACTGATTTTCTTTTCCGGGGAGGAAAGGGAGAGGGGGTCAGGTCAACAAGTTATATGTATACCTACAGTCATGATATCAGTATGAAATTAAAATATTTTGATTCAGGAGAGGAATTTTAGATGTCTGTTGATTTATAAATACATCTGTACAGTAAAATCCTTTTCGCAAGAGCCCAAATATGGTAAAATTTTATGGATCATCCTTTTTGTAGTTAAACATTTATAATGCATGTATACATAATCTGCATAATGCTATAGCTTGTGAACTTGATGGCCTCGGTATATCTTTGGGAGAGAACAGTCTGCTCTTTGACCATGAAATTTGGAGCTAACGAACAGTATTCAGCTCAAAGTCCATTAAGACAATATAAATCGGTAGCAGAGTAAACATGGACCTCCAAAAACATCAGAGGTGGGATCAGGTGCCATGGAGGACTGAGCATCCCCTGCTGGCCGGTCACACTCGCAGTGTGTTCCTTTTCATGACCGGGAAAAGACGGGAAAATCCGTACACAAGTTAGTGTGTAAATAATGGTCTAACAATACGTATGAAAACGTCAGTCAGCATTTGACTTAATGATAGATTGTATTTGCTGATATGTCATTGTATCGACCATAAAACTTGCGAAATGATGACTTCAAACGAGACTGTTAATATTCTTGTTTCATCAACTTGTTTGTCAATAGATTTTCTTGTCTTAGAAATTGTTCGTACTTAGAGCTTGTTCTTGTGTATCGAATTAATTGGGAGACAAAAACACCTCATGCAAGTGATAATGGTATTTTGCTACATAAGTAAGGGAAGTTGACGATTGAAAAATTGAAGTCTACTTTCTTTTCAGAAAAAAAATGATTTAGAGAAAGAAAGAGGCAGATAGACATAGAGAGAGATTACTTCTATCATGTATTAATGTCTCTCAGAATGAGTGTATTTAATTCAATATCACAAAATGATCAATATTATTTTCATTTTAGATTAAATGGACCCTGTATAGTGAATTTCCAAAACTTTTCACGTGTGGTAGGTGCCTTGAGTGGAATAACTTTTGAGGGAAGTCGATCACGCTAATAAGACAATAAGGTAGACTAAGTGTAGTTTGTCCTTGGAAAAAGATCAAAGAAACCGCGTCTAAATTGGTAAAATTCAATATGTATGAACTTACACATATTAATTTTTTTGTGTACATGAGTCTTTGAATGATAATCGCAAATAGGCTAAATGATCGCAAATACAATATTTTTGTAGTAGTATCCATTTTTTCTGGTCAAGAGAACGTCATCAATATCAAAGTTTGCTTCTAAAGGTTGCAACTTGGTGAATTCATATTTTATGTGATCAAACTAAAGCCAGCGAGATTATTGTGCACGTTATATTCATAAAAAGATTTCTTGCAAGGTGTAATCTGATAGACCCATAACTTTCTTTTTCTGCTTCTGAACGTTTAGCAAAGAAACGTAGCAATATAATGCTTATATTAAATTCAAAGGAAGGGATATAAATAGCTTTTTGCACTGTTGCGAACGCTCATTCAAGCCATCGCAGTGATTTCAATAATATTACAAAGCTTATAAGAGGAAAGAAATTGTAGTTCAAATGAAATTGCAGACAAGTTTTAATATTGAAAATCCCCCGATTGTGAAGATTCTACATAACACTTACTATTTCCATTTTCATTATTAAATCCTTATTTCAAAAATCATTATTATGTGCAAATTCAGAATATATTCATCTGTATCCGCTTTTAATACTTACTACAAGCCCCACATTTCAGGGGACAAAACTCTTTGAACATTTCTCTTTCCTCTGGATATGGTGAGTTACACTCAGCATCCGTCACTTCCTGGCAAATGTCCCAGTTTTCATACATGTTTTGGTTCTTACATTCCTCTATCAAATATTTTTGTCATGATATTACATGTACATATAACAGTCATACACGCCATGATATTTCTTTATTCATTCTAATTTTAAATTTCTTACCATCACAATTTGGACCCAGTCCATATCTACATGTACAAGTACATGTACTGTTGTCTAAAGTTCCTTGACCTATCAAGGGTTTACTGCAAGTTTTTCTACAGTCTAAAACATATAAGTTTAACATTTTTATAGAACCCCTCTTAATATGCCAGATTTTTCCAATAGAAAGGGAAAAGACAAAGAAAATTTCAAAAGTATCTCAATTAATAAAACTTTCGTAAAACAGTAACTTACCACATCTCTCTATTGTCGAGTTACATGCAACTGTAGTAAAACAAAATCTGTTCAATATGATTGAAATCAATAACTATATTGTATCAAAGATTTAAAATAATTATGAAAATTAAAGAAAAAATACGGTACCACAAAGCCCGTCATCACAAAAAGCTGCGTCGTCATCACACTTTGTACAGGGGGTACCTGGTTTGTACACGGGGGGATACTCGGCGCTGTAAATTATACAGTCCTTCAATAACTTTTTCATTTAATAAATCGATTAATAAGCCTATACTCTTTTTTTCCCTAAAATTTCATTTTTGATTCGTTTTCAATATATCGCAATCAAAATATTTTTATAACAATCATCTCATTGAATACTAGAAAAATTAGCTGTTGATAAATATGGATGATAAAAATAAATTAGTTGATTATCTGAAATAATGTACGTAATAAAACAGGTAGGGTAAACTGTAGAAGAGACAGAAAAGAGTGAATTATAAATAAGTTAAAAGATCATTGAATTTTCTTTTAAATGAAATAATGAACAGAATAAAATTGCTGTATTGATTGATTGATTGTATGTTGTTTAATAACGTCCTGTTCGAGAATTTCTCGCTCATATAGAGAGGACACCATATACTGGTGAAGGGCATCAAATTTAGACCTTTTCTAGGCACTCAGGGCCATTGAGCAGTGAAGGATCGTAGGCCAACGCCCGCCGTGGCCTCGGTTTTTAAGGTCTCATCCGAAGGAACCGCAACTTTCACTTCAAAGTGCCAAGCGCTTGGCGAAGGAACAGTTGCTACCTATTTTTGACTTAGGTCAGTCGCGGCCGGGAGCGAGCGCTCTACCGAATGAGCTACCACCCTAACAAAAAATACTATAGTAAACTATAGTTAACTATAGTAAAGCAAAGTGTCAAAGTTATCACTATAGTAAATCAAAGTGTCAAAGTTATCACTATAGTTAACTAAAGTTGTCGTAGTGTCAAAGTTATCACTATAGTTAACTATAGTAAACTATAGTATTTTTTGTTATGGCATGACGGTTATTACTGTATTGTAGAGATTGTTAATCTTGTTGGGCCAGGACGTACGGAATACTTACCCGCCCTCGTACATACAAAGTAGTTTGATTTTACCACTGCATCTTTTAAATGAACACCCTATGGAGTGGTGACCTGCATTTATCATCTGTAAAAAATATGTTAAATCAAAAACATGTATACGGTGTGAAACTTATAGAAAAAGCAATAATAATGACGTCAATGCATGACATGATATATTTCAAAATTCTTTCAATATTCTAATTTAAAGAGATAACTCCTTCTTATACTGCATTGTTGATATACATTTTTTTCTCCTGCTGTCTCAAAACTGATTTTGAATGTTAATTAACTATCGCAATTTTTTTCACTATTAACTACAGAAACGTTTGTTTGCCCTTGCATTGTCAAAAATCATTCTGAATATTAATTAACCATTACAATTTCTGTTGGAACTGTATTTTCTGTGAATCATTTTCAGAGAAAGTGAATGAATGTTAACTGACCGTTAAGATGTTGCTACATGGAGAAGATTCCAAACAAGAGGCCTCATAAGGAAACAAATGCTGAATTTCCCGAAACCACTCGTGAATAATGCCACTTAAAGACGCACCTTTTCCGATATTCACAGTCAAACTGTTCTGAAACAAGTCTGAATTTTCTGAACTACATTGTAAAATTTCAGAGGTATGCCTTTGTAAACTTTTACTCCATGTCTGAAATGAGAAGCAAAAATAATAATAATAATAATAATAATAGCTTGTAAGTCAGTTACAGTGAAGAATACAGTAAACTCTACGGATATTTTTCATTCATGTTTATTAAAATGTATACAAATCTCACTTTTCCACAAAAAAGTTTTTGTCTACATGTCTTTTCTAGGTTCAAATTAAAAAAAACATATACAAATGCATTTAATGGAAATGCCTGTTGTTGGGACGTGTAATATTTAGATACACACTCCCTCATATCCAAACATTTAACATAAGGACCTTTGAAATGTAAAGAAGAAAAGAAAACCTCATGCATGAAATACAACGTCACTATTAACTCATGTGAAATGTATCCTAAACAGCAATGATCGAATTAAAAAAAATAGCATTTATAGCAAAGAAACAAAAGGCCCAAGAGCCTCAATGGTAACCCTAGTGTAATACAACATTGTAAAGGGTTTAAAGAGGTATAAAATAAAACAATATAAACTGACAAATGAAGCTATGTTGCTCTAAAGCAAGAGAAATAGGAAGAACAGGGATTAACAATTAATTAGCACAGGATGAAACTCTGCCATTCACTTAACTGAAAGGTGAGTGAAAGATTACTGAAATGTGACAGAATAACAGAGCTCTACCATTCAGTGACCTTTCCAGACCTTTCAGTGACCATTCAGTTGACTGAAAGGTAGAGAATCATCCTGTGTAGTGTAGCACTCTGTAACAAATCTTAAAGTAGATCTATTTACTTGTCTGTAGTTGTCCCCATTTGTCACTCTCACAATGTACCGTAAACTAAACAAAACAATAGTGCTTGAACATTATAAGTAAACCCAGAATTTCACAAATCTGGTAAAACTACCTTTTTTATTACATCTTTGTACTTTGTTTGCCTCCTGGTGCTCAGGAGCAGAGCAGGATTTTCAAAGAAATAATGCATTTTCCCTTTACGTTCGAAACAGCCCCACCCTAACACCAGAACCCCTGACCCAGATGCCATGAAATTCACAATTTTGGAGAAAGCACACCTGCTCATTTAAATCATGCATTAGTTTATCTGCTAAATACCCAGGATGAGAGAAGAGGATTTTTCAAAGAGATAAATGCATTTTCACAATATATTCAACAGAGCCCAGACCTTACACCAAAACTCCTGATCCAGGGGCTACTAAAAAATTTGAGGATAAATTAAAAAAAAAAATTCGAGAGAAGACCCACTCATATAGAAAAATTGTGCTAAAATATGAAAAAAATGACCCCTTTTGCCCCCTTTGGTGTGTGTATGCTATTACATATAGGCAAATAATTTCAATCTTTATGAGTTTTGTGCAAATTGTGGAGATTTTACATAAAGAATACTTTACAGTTAGATGAAATATCAAAGAAAATTTTGTTATAAGTGAAATTTAATTTTTCGCCTTCATATTTGTCGCACACTATAGGCATTTCGCTTGCCTTGTTTGCCCTTCTTCTTTGATGGTTTAATCGGTTGATTTATTACCCTCTTATGTCCCCCCAATCAACGAGTTCGATGCTGATTTCAGACACACATTATTTACCTCAATTATAACTGGTTTGATCTTTCAAGTCAAATAAATGGTCGAAATCTGTTCATACTGTTCCTTATCGCGCGAAGTAGTCACTATCGTTTATTCACTAAGAACAAGCAATCGTTCCGAACACTTCTATCATAGTAAATTCATAAACAAAAGATTTTACAAAAGTATTTGGTACTAGTATACAGTATTTTATTGAAAGTGTAAGATAAAAATTACATTTTGTTGCATGTTCACATTACGTGCAACTGACTGTCAGATCGTACAAGTTAAAATGTGCATGAGGCTTAATTGCGCTGTTAAATTTATTTTTATGCTTTGTAGAAGGAAGGCCACAATAAAACCTGGTATTGCTACTATTCATAAATGATTTTTACGATGAAGTCAAAAACGGATTTTAAAAATAAAAGGAGAAATATGTCAATTTATCTGTGGTAATTGCATCAGCTTTAATAAAAAGGCAATTATTTTATTAAACTTTTTTTTCATTTGTACATGTTTCTATGTATATCAACATGTCATTTATCCTTAAAGTCATCTAAACTGGTATTTTTTTTTAAATATATAAACAATGAATAAAAAAGATCATGTCCGAGGCAAATTGAAAGTTATGTTTAAAGAGAAAAACTCGGGGTTGCGAGGTTGAACAAACAAATTGAAGTTTTAATGAGCAATAACTTTACATTTATAATTATTTACTTCTCTAATTTTAAAATGTCATACTATTACTCTAACAACGTAAATGTATTTTTAGATAATATCATCCGTTATTCTTTAGCTACAAGGCTTTTAACTATTTCTTCTTGTAAAGTTAATAAGGCCTTAATAACCATCATGGTGTTTTCGGTTAATTCATATTTACTTATTATTATTTTTTACGCTAACATAAGGAGCGTACGCAATGTATCGTGTCTTATGAACGCAAATGACATTAAATAAAAAATGGAACATTTCTTTTAAACATGAATTATTTTAGTTTATTATGCTCGGTATAATACAGCAGATAACCGCAAATTATCAAGTGTTTAAATGATGATGAATCCGACCTGGCTAACCCGATGTAAAATGAACAAGGTTAATTTTTTTATTCAAAGGGGATGGCATAAATTGAAATACTGATTTATTTCTTCAGACTTAGCAGTGTAGCCACAAATGTCTGAAAAAATGCACCACACTCAATGAACTTTTCATTCCTCTAAAAAACATTACTCTGGAGTTTTTAGTCTCTAATTCATCTCAATGAACTGAGACTTGTGCTGGAAGAGAATAATGGGATACTGTACAGCTGGTATTCACCAAAATAAACACCGCTAGATTTATTTTCTTTGATATATAAAAGTCACCAAAAAAGTCACCGATGTCAATGTTTTTCGCGGGGGGGGGGGGGGGGGCGGGGGGGGGTAATATTACCCTCAACTACATGCAATATTTATTATATCATATTATAGTTTTCATGTATATAACTCGATATAAAAGATACCACGGAGTCGAACACATCTGTTATAAGTCTGGATATTTTATATCTGGAAGATCTGGATCTAGAAGAAGACATTAATGGCAACTTAACAACAAAACTTTATAATAAACGTGATGACTTCAACTTTTCTATCGTCAACCTTATTTATCCAGCAATATATCATCATCACCTGCATTTGAGCTTATGTCTCCAAGTTGATTCGATACGCAAGAGCATGTACTGCGTACAAAAGAACTTTAAAACGGGGCAAGCTATTGACAAGTAAGTTGAAGATATGATGATATCAACAGTCCCGTTTAAAGTAAAAATTTGCAAATTCTATGGTCGATACAAAGATCTATCGTTAAATCGAATGTTCCTTATGCGCGCACGGTTCACTGTTTTTTGTATGAAATTTGAAGATAACAAACAATAATCAAGCTCAAAAATTCATTGGAACAATACAAATTTGGAGCAGAGAAAACTCGGATCTCTGAAAACATCAGAGGTGGGATCAGGAGCCATGAGGAGTAACCATCCCCGTCGTGTGCTCCTTGTCATGATCGGGCAAATAGAAATTACAGCATTATACACGTAAATTACAGCATTATGCATGTAGTTAGATAAGATTAAAACCTGAGTGCAAAATGAACTACATTGTATTTTTAACAATTTTCGTTTGAAACTTTTTTGCATTATTGCAGGCTTGAAAAATGTATAAATTCAATTTTTCTGATGAAATTTAAGTACTTCTTCAAAGCACATCAATTACAAACATCTGTCGCTTGTTTTATTTTAGGACTTAAAGCGTTATAAACAGATATATTGCAGATAGATGACAACTGTGAAGACACTAGGTCTTTGTTCAACTTGTGTCTGTGTACCTAATATCTGGGGAAAGGTATGCTACTTTTAAAATATTTACAAATAAACAGAGCCTGTCAGATTAAAACAATTTTGATATGTGATGCATTTGTGAAAATGGGGTTTAAATCACCAGTCTTTAGCATAATATATTTTGAAATTTTACACGCTGTCTTAGGGAATTTATTCACACATACTATGTTAAATTTAATGTATTAGCCCAATTATTATTGCTTTTCAATTGTTAATTGAAATTTATTTAGGAATTTTTGAAACGACACAAATGAAAAACACAGTTTAATTAAATCAAAACAAGTCAAGTGATGTTATAACTTAAAGTTCCTTAGCCTGTCTCTGTGGCCGAGTTTCTTTAATTTATTCTTATATAAATATAGAACATATATGTATACATAGTTTCTTTTCAAATTTTTCTTTCTTTATTTATTTAAATTGATACATTGATGCATTTCTACTTCAATTCTGTATCTTTTGTTGGACAATTTCGGAATACTATTAACTTGAATCATTTTGCTGCGACTTGAATTATAAATTTTCTTTATTACAGCCGTCTAATGAAAGACCTTGAACCACTCACGGTATCACCTAGGAATTGATTAACTTTGCCAGCGGTCTTGCTAAATACAAATGAACTATTAAATTTTTATGTATACTCAACATTAATTTATTTGTTTATTTTTTTTATTTAAATACCCACATGCTGATCTAACGACCACATTTACTTGAAGCCGTTTATTTAAATTACCACAGCTTCCAAATTGATCTTCCTCGCCACCACCCCCTCTTTTTACTTTTATATATGTAGTTTTTTTCTTAATCAAAATCTCATTACATGTTGTGACAAGCTCTGCACACTAATACAGATATATCGTCGCCGGCAATTACTTCAGCACCAGTCGAAATAGACAAACATGTACAATTTTTCGTCAATTGATACGAGATGAGAAGTTATTTTGATAAACTTAAAATTGTCAAATTTGAAAAGCCTCAGGGATTTGCAAGTCAAACCGATATAAAGTCTTTTTTTCTCATTTGAAGAAATAAATAAAATGATTTCGAAGTCAAGATTCCTCGATAAAATTATTAACTCATTCATAACAGTCGATATAAATAAATATAATTAGTTGTTAAAAAATGAATGCAACGATCTTACACTTTTGACGATGCATTGGCCTTTCAGTTGATCACAACACGTCAAATTCTTGATTTTATAAACTATTTTGTAGACAGGATAACTGATTTTAGTATATTATTTTGTTTTATACTAACATGTTTTCAAATAACATTTTGTTCATATTTCATAAGTTTATCTTTTCCAGTAAAATTGTTATTTTGGGTAGTACGATGTGCTTCTAATTCAAAGAATTTTTAAGCCAAATGCTTGACAATAGAAGCTAAAACATTTGTTACGGGGGATAAATAACTTACCAGTTTTCTCATGTTAGATACCCTTGTACCATACAATCCCATGGCAAGATTCCGTCTATGTCTATTATGTTCTTGAAGGATTTCTTCAATTTGTCGAATTCGTAGCCGAGATGCTCTCAGCTGTGTCACTTCTGAAAAAACAATTTTAAGTTTTGATTTTAGAATCCAGCTTTCAGCAATGATCTTTATATTCCCAGATGCAAAAATAATCCTGAAGATATCACTTTCCTTTATTTACTTAAGAAACGAATATACTATACCTAAAATATTAAAAAATAAAATAAAGTAGATTCTAAGTTGAATCATTGTTGATTAGTTTTGCCGACGGCAATCCGACCCTCTCTCCGTTATTAACTTGTTTATTTCCATAAAAGTGTTAAAGTTCTTTTATTTGGCCTATTGGCGAGTTTTGACCAATCAGTCTACTCAGCTCATTCAACTTCACTTGAATGTAGCTGTTGTTCCGGAAGTAATTGATATCTCTGAGGCAGTAACGCTGTGTTTTACTGTGATTAAAGTCAAACCCCTAGATGCTACTCCGATATCGGATAATCTTTGATTTTCCCATGAAAGTCACACAATAGAGCATGAATTGTTTTAAACCTTAATTGAAAAGAAACTCTAAGGATAACCGCATTTATATACCCATTCATAACATAAGGACATCTATGATGATTGGTAGAACTCACGTCCAATGGGTTTATATTACAGTCCTCACTGTTGTACTTGCATAACTATTTATTCGGTTCTTTTTTTTTATTTCAATCCAAACAGTGGTTTTCTTTTAATGAAAACAAATAAACACTTAATTATAATATTTTAGACAATGATTACGTAAATATTTGATAAAAGAACACCAAGAGGGCGAGATAATAATTTCCCAATTCCCTAACGCCAACATTGTTTTCAAGATAGTTTTTCGGAGGGAGGAGGGGTAAAGGGAAGTTTGATGGTGGGTAGTCATCATAAATAATGCTATTTATCTTTTAACCCCCCCCCCCCCCAAAAAAAAAAAAAATTGAAAAGAGAACTACAGAAACTCGTCAAAAATAGATATATTTGTTCAAACGCAACCATTACATCAAAATCTCGGACAAGAAACTTTTTGAAAGTATACATTTAAAATTGAAATATATATATATATATATATATATATATATATATATATATATATATATATATATATATATATATATATATATATATGCTATCTACATATGTTAGCCGTTTAAGTCACAATGCAGAGCTCTTAAACAGAAATTGATTTTTCAAAAATTTTATTATGTTTGAAATTTTTCAAACAACGTAAATAGCCGATGGGAAGGAATGCAAACCACAATTAATTACATGTTTATGTAATCTTAAAAGTTGAAACATATAAACAAGTTATTTTTTTGGATTTTCTTGTCTGTGTTGAAGACGATTTCTTGTTTAATATGTGTCTGCATAAAGACATAAAATATTTTTTTAAAAAGGAAAATAATTCATGTCATACATCAGAGCATGGTTAGATTTAGAAAATCATTTTACGAATAAAGTATACAATGAACTCATTATGTTTTTCCTTTAAAGTTTTAAATTTCTACTTTTCTTATGTATAAAAAATCTGTTTGTGTTATTTGTGAAATAATAATCAAATCTGAGATTCATTTAACTATTTACTGGAATGTTATATATTGTGTAAAACATATGTTCTGAAAGATTTTGTTTGAAAATATTCTGTAATTTGATGACAAGTACTGATCCTGTCTTCATCCTGCCGCCGTGTAATCGCCAACATGGACAAATTTCCGTTTTGCACATATTATTTTCAATATCTGAAATTTAAATGTGTGCAAAACGGGAACAAACCCAGCTCATTACCACTGAAACTGCTATTAATACAGTGGGCAATCATGAAGAAATTCACTTTTATAAGGATACCCACTTCCGCCCCAGTCCGAGGTTGAACTCTCGACCTACGGAATCTGTCTCCTAGCAGTACAAGAACAGCGCGCTAGACCGCTCGGCTATCTAGGCAAAAACTTGCTTTCGATGCCGATGGAATTCTCGCATCGAAAGCAAGTTTTTGCCTATATATATATATATATATATATATATATATATATATATATATATATATATATATATAGTTTTAAAAAGGGGCAAAGAATCTGACAAGCAAAAACAACTTTTTCCGTACTTTTTGGTACATTTTTTTCAAATCCCGGAAATTGCTAGTGCTAGACCCATCAGCAACAAAAAAGTAGAGGGGGGCTGACAACCAGCATCTAAACGAAAAATACTATATTCAGAAAAGTAACCCCCCCCCCCCCCCCCGGCCTCCTCGCGCTCTACGGGCCTGTTTCTGTCAAGTTATTTCCCTCCATCGAAATATACCATATCGCATGGAAATCTGTCTCCTTACACCTACTGATAATAACTATTCGCTCGACCTTCGTATTACCAAGAAAAGAATTATGTTATAGCAGGTCTTGTTAAGATAATCAATTTTCTTATTATCAAAAGAGTAACTATGACTTATAATCTGTGCAACTGCACCTTTAATTGTTATTGTTGCATTATGAGTAAAATAACCTCGAAGCAATGTAATAAATTTCATACTTAACCATCCCACAACTATTGTAGCGATTGTAAACTTGAGAGAATAAACGCTGAAACAAATCAAATGGTCATATTATAGCATTTTTATGCAAACAACTGGGTTATATAACCCATTTGTAAATGGTGTTCATTCGCAAGGTTAATTTGAATCTAATATAAAACTTTAATGTTTGTTAGAGGGATTGTCTTTTTTCGGCTCACATACATTTTGCTATACCCTCTGGTGAAAACTTTTGTAAATGATACCCAGTTAGCTTCAGATGGGGATAAATCAGAATCTCGGAAATTTAATATCTCAACTGCCTAGCCTGTGATGAAACCATATAGTTCTTTACACGAAAACTTGTCTGAACGCTGATGCACAATTACATCACACTTTAATTTTAAAAATTCTTTTATGGCTCATATTTACATTTTATGAAAGACTCGTCAGATGCTTTTATTAATGAAATATGGTGCGAAAATATGGATGTGGTTAAAGCTAAAAATATTAAAAGACCTTCATAGTACAATCGTCATTTATTTTGACAAACTGAAGTATCTTGCATGCATGACAAATTTACTTTTGTAAACAAGGATTTCATGAATCCATTTATTTTTTATCGTAATACCAAGAAAGACCTTACATGACACCATTTCGGCAAAAAAGGTGAACAATTAAAAAGACTTCATAAGTCGTTTCAGTCTAGCAAGAAAAATTCATTCCACTTTTATCATAATTTATGCGTACAGGTTTTGTTAATATGTTCGTACGTTGTTTTGTTTCTATATATAGCTAGAGTTCTTGTCCTGAACTACATCTAAATTAACCTAGTTTCTGTCTTCCTCATGATATCTGTGGTCTTGAATCTTTAATAAAATAGCAGATTCACTGTATTTATCTGTATATAAAGTTTGTTATAATGAAAATCTAAGGGGAAAAACGGCTGACAGCGATAAGAAATACATTTTTAGTCTTTCCAAAGATATATTTGTAAACATGTACATGTATTATGAATGGTAAGGACTTAGAAATATTGAAAGTGTCCTTGACATTAGCAGAGAAAATGAAACAGACTGTTATCTATAAAATTGTCATACAAGCAAAATGTCAGTGGCCTCTTCGAAGCGGGAAAGACGGCTCCTTATTAATCAGTTGCTCTGATTTTGTATACCCCAGGGATGTACATGAAATCCACGTTTTCATTCATAGAATTGTGAAATAGTTCAATACGAACATAAAATTTGTCTCCTGAAAGTGATTGACCATTTCGTAAATGCTGCTGTAGGATCATTTACAAATTATCACTTTCCCTTGTGGTAAATCATTGTGGTTGCTAAATACAGAGTGTTGAATATATTAACACTGTTTTACTTATTTAAAACAATTTAAAGTAAGTCACTTTTCTACGGAATGCAGAGTTAACATAGTTTCATCGTACTATTCATTTCAAATCGTGTATTAGTATGTTAAGTTAATTTCACTTGAATGGTGCCACAAATAGAAATAAAATTAATGATTGGAAACGACCAAAAATATCTAGATTAAGGAATGTTTATATTCCTTTTTGTATAAAAGATTTTAAAAAGCTTAGCTTAATCACACCAGTCATTTTTAAAAAGCTTAGCTTAATCACACCAGTCATTTTTAACAATTGTTTTTATTTTGAAACAGAAGAATAAGGTAATTTTTATACGTGGTCACTGAAGTGTCAAAATGAAGAGTTGCCAAGGGGAAGCGAATAAAATCTTAATTTTTGCTTATTTGAATATTTGTTTTTAAATAGATACTAATATTTAAATATTGTAGTTTTCTTTGATTTTTTTTTATCAATACATATGTAATCTTTTTTCTTCTTTTCTAAATATGCTTATGGATCCTCAATGTCTGTAAACATGAACTTCAGCAACATTTATAGATTGAAAAAAGTAAAGCACTAAAATTGAAACAAAAATCTAAAATTGATTTCGTGTACCTAGAGAAAATATAGATTTTTTCCTCTTTCTATAACTTATTTAACACACTTCTTATACTATTTCAAAGTATTGATTCAAAGAAAGGTCAAAAAATCTTGGTCAAATATTTACCGCTATCAACATTCAGTCGGTCAGTACTTTGCATTTTTCCTTTAAATGGTGATCAATAGTGTCTACAGAAATGATTTTGAAATTCTTCGTTCGTAACTAAACAAACTTTGATAGCCAGTCACACCTCTTCATGCACGTCACAATGTACTTTACGTATGTGTGATGAGAGGGAAGTTTGCACAACCACACCCTTTCAATGAAATTATTTTTTATTGAAATTTTTGAAAAACATTTTAATGTTTTTTGGACCACAAAACTGAACATAGAAAGAAATTTACATTTTCTAACTCAAAATATATTTGCTGATCAGATGATTTCTTCTTTCTTCAATGATATAGTTATTAGATGTTAAATTCCTTTTTTTCAATAAAAATAATGGGGGCGAGAATATTCCCCCACTCTGAAACAATATATTTTCAAAGTTCATAGAATATTTTCCTAAAAAACATGTTGTCAATAATTTCATCATTAACACTTTGATTCATTTTTTTTTTCTTCTGAATAGCTTATTGATTGATAATTTGTTTTTGAAGTTGACTGTTAAAGCATACATGGTAGAAAATGGATCTATTAGAGATATTAAAATGATTTTCGAATATGAATGGGTCAAGTCTTAATTCTTCAGAAACTTTTAAATGACAGAAAAATTAATGTAAAATATATGTCATGTTTCAAAAAATTGAATCTGAACGCATTCTTTATGAAAATCGAACATTTCTTTTAAAAAAAAAAAGATATACTTCAACAATC